GCAAGGAGCCTAAATAACAAAATGGGGGAACTAGAGGCATTAGCATACACTAAACAATATGATATAATAGGCATAACTGAAACATGGTGGGATGAGACACATGACTGGGCAGCTAACTTAAATGGGTACATGTTATTTAGGAAGGATAGGAAAAACAAGAAGGGTGGTGGGGTATGTTTGTATGTCAAACATGATTTAAAGCCAAATGTTAAGCAAATGGAATGCGAGGAGGATAATGTGGAAGCTTTATGGGTAAATATCTGCTTGGGGGAAAAGAAGGGAAACCAACTATTGGTTGGGATATGTTATAAACCACCTAATGTTAATATTGACGAGGAACAACAGCTGTTTGAGCAAATTGAGAAAGCTGCAAATCTGGGTAACACTTTAATTATTGGAGATTTTAATTACCCGGATATAAATTGGGACAGAGGGACTAGTGCCTCAGCAAAGGGAATTAGGTTTTTAAACTTGTTAAATGACACCTTCATGTCACAACTTGTACAAGCACCAACTAGAATGGATGCTTGTCTGGACCTGGTTTTAACAAACAACGTTGATCTTTTGACCAACATTCAAGTAGGTGAGCACTTGGGAAATAGTGATCACAATATAGTGTCCTTTGAAATAAACTCAAAAAAACAAAAGCACATGGGGTATACTAAAACATATAATTTTAAAAAGGCCAATTTCAATAAGTTAAGGGAAGCTTTACAATATATTGACTGGCATAAACTCTTTAGTGAAAAGAACACTGAGGATAAATGGATCATCTTCCAACAAATATTACAAAGGTACATTTCTCAGTATGTACCATTGGGAAATAAATATAAAAGAAACAAATTAAAACCAACATGGCTTAGTAGAGAAGTAAAACAAGAGATTACAACTAAGAGAAGGGCATTTAAAGCATTTAAATCGGACAAATCAGATGCATCTTATAAAAGATATAAGGATGCAAATAATGCGTGCAAAAAGGCAATTAGACTTGCTAAACTTCAAAATGAAATAATGATAGCTGAAGAGAGCAAAACCAACCCCAAAGCATTTTTTAAGTACATAAATTCTAAAAAAAAACAAAATGAAAGTGTAGGTACACTAAAAACTGAAAAGGGGGTGTTAATTAATGAAGACCAGGAAAAGGCAGGAATTTTAAATAACTTTTTCTCCTCCGTATATATTAAGGAAGAACCCATGGCAATAGATGTGCAAATGATTGCTACTAAAAACTTGCAGAATAATTGTAATTGGTTAACTCAAGACAAGGTGCTGCAGCAACTAAAGAAAGTTAATATAAACAAAGCTCCAGGGCCTGACGGTATCCATCCACGTGTACTTAAGGAACTAAGTGCAGAAATAAGTGAACCTCTGTTTTTAATCTTTCAAGATTCTTTTCTTTCAGGAAGTGTTCCGGAGGATTGGAGGAAGGCAGATGTGGTTCCTATATTCAAAAAGGGTTCAAAATCCTTGCCTGGAAATTATAGACCTGTGAGCTTAACTTCTGTGCCTGGTAAAATATTTGAAAGTTTATTAAGGGATAATATTCAAGAATTCCTTGAGAAGAACATGGTTATCAGCAAAAATCAGCATGGTTTTATGAAGCACAGGTCATGTCAACTAACTTGATTGCGTTCTACGAAGAAGTAAGTAGAAGTATAGATCAGGGTGTTGCCGTGGATGTGATCTTTTGGATTTTGCCAAGGCATTTGATACAGTTCCACACAATAGATTAGTGTTCAAACTCAAGGAAATCGGTCTAGATGAAAATGCTTGTTCTTGGGTAGAACATTGGCTTAAAAACAGAGTACAAAGAGTTGTCATTAATGGTAAATTTTCAAGCTGGACAGAGGTGGCAAGTGGTGTCCCTCAGGGGTCTGTTCTGGGACCCCTTCTATTTAACATGTTTATAAATGATCTTGAAGACCGCATTGAAAGTCATGTTTCAGTGTTTGCAGATGACACAAAACTTTGTAAAACAATACAATGTGAGCAAGATATTACTTTGCTGCAGAGGGATTTAGATAGACTGGGGACTGGGCACTCAAATGGCAGATGAAATTTAATGTTGAAAAATGCAAAGTTATGCACTTCGGCGTAAAGAATACACAAGCAACGTATACCCTTAATGGAAGCGAATTAGGGATAACAACACATGAAAAGGACTTGGGAATTGTTATAGACAACAAACTATGCAACAATGTGCAATGTCAATCAGCAGTGGCCAAGGCCAGTAAGGTATTGTCATGCATGAAAAAGGGCATTCATTCTCGGGACGAGAATATCATTTTGCCTCTTTATAAATCACTGGTAAGACCCCATATTGAATATGCTGTGCAATTTTGGGCACCTGTTCTAAAGAAGGATATTATGGCACTAGAAAAAGTGCAGAGGCGGGCTACAAAATTAATAAAAGGAATGGAACATATCGGCTATGAAGAAAGGTTAACAAATTTAAACCTATTTAGTTTAGAAAAACGTCGCCTGAGAGGGGATATGATAACATTATACAAATATATTCGGGGCCAATACAAACCATTGTGTGGAAATCTATTCACAAACCGGACTTTACATAGGACACGAGGCCATGCGTTTAGACTGGAAGAAAGAAGATTTCGCCTAAGGCAAAGGAAAGGTTTTTTTACTGTAAGAACAATCAGGATGTGGAATTCTCTGCCTGAGGAAGTGGTTTTATCAGAGTCCATACAGATGTTCAAACGGCTACTAGATGCATACTTGCAAGAACAGAATATTCAAGGATATAATCTTTCAATGTAGGGTAATAACTACTTGATCCAAGGATAAATCTGACTGCCATTCTGGGGTCAAGAAGCAATTTTTTTCCTAGCTTGTTGCAAAATTGTGCTTCAAACTGGGTTTTTTTGCCTTCTTTTGGATCAACAGCAAAAAACAAATGTGAGGAAGGCTGAACTTGATGGACGCAAGTCTCTTTTCAGCTATGTAACTATGTAACTATGTAACTATGTAAGTCTCATCTATCTGTTCTTTCCTTTTTTTTCTCTCTTCTTTCTTCCTCCCCCTTTCTCCCCCCCAACCCCCATACAGGCCCGGGGCAGGTGGCTCCCCTCCTCCAGCCCTGATATAGCTACACAGATAGCTCTCTCCCTCCAAATTGTCTCCTGGCATGGCCTATTGACCTGCCCCCTATCCATCCTTACTCAATTGAAGAGGCCTAAATACCCTAGAACGCAGAGCCCACCTAGTGAGAGAATTGAAGAAAAAGAATGCCTCTGTGGCACTCCTTCAGGAGACCCATTTTATGGAGGGTGCTGGAGTCACAATCCTATTGGTGGCCATGCTGCAATTTAAGGTACTTGATCACTTAGCGAACTTAGAGGGTAGGTTCTTATTTCTGAAAGGCAGGATAGTTGACAAATTGTACACTTTTCTGTCCCTATATGCCCCCAATCGCAGACAGGCACAGTTCATTCTCAGAACGTTCACCCGTCTAAAAGATTTCATGGAGGGCAGCATTATTCTGGGGGAGACTTTAACGCACCATTGGATCCCATCATGGATTCCTCTACCGGACACAGCTGTATACCACAGCTGAGCATCCGGTCTAGCCATAAGGCCCTTAGAGACTTTGGACTGACTGACTGTTGGAGGGACTACACCCTGACACTAAGGATTACACTCACTATTCAGCACTCCATGGATGATACTCCCGTATTGACTCTTTATTTATCCAACTGGAAGGCCTCACTCGCCTACTAAAAGCTGACATAGGCCCCTCCATATGGTCGGACCATAGATCAGTGCAAATTGAACTGGAACTCCCACTATTTCGACCTACTAGCTGGACCTGGAGACTCAACGAAGCTCTCCTCCTAGACCTGGATGTATGGGAACAAATTGACCAGGCCTTGACCATATATTTCCAGGAGAACGAGACAGGGAATGTCTCACCTATCTCTGATCTGAAGAGGCATAATCATACGCATAGCCTCAGCAAAGAAGAAAGCAGTCCTGTAGCAACTGGCTGAACTCTATAACTCCATAGAAAAAAATAAGTAGCAAGAGAGATGAGAATGGAGAACAGCTCAATTAGCCAGCCCTTCAGTGGGTCCCCACTCAGATCTCAAGCTGGTTTTAGCTCAACTTGTGCCATTACAGATATAACATATCTGAAGCATATCAGACTGGTCCCACCCGTACAGGCAGTCCAGATCCGAAATGCCAGCAAGTTCCCTCTGCACCAGAGATATGGCAACCTCCGACAATTGTTTCAACCTTGTTAGTTATCATCAGTGAGGTATAGTCAATATCCCTCTTGGCACCATGAGCAAAGTGTCCACGTCTGGATTGCCCTTTAAACTTAAGGAGAGAAAAATAACTGCTATAACTCCATAGCACAACTGGAATCACAACACAACAGCACACAACTCAAAGGGACTTATAGGCAACTTTTAGAGGCCAGGAGACGATTAGCGGGGTTACTTACTCAGAGGTACAATAAATCCCTGCAACGCTCTCAAGGATTTTTTTTTTATGTACATGCCAACAAAGGGGGTAAATGCTTAACCTGCATATTACAAGGTTTACAAAAGTGGACCCAGGTGCACAAACTAAAGCTGACATCGGGGGTGACATCACTCCTACCAAATTACATGCTGGAGAATTTCAGATGTTCTATTAATCCTTGTATAACTTACCGGAGACACTGTCATGTGGTAACACTTCCGGGTTCGGCACTCTGCTGTGTGGAGCTGGACCCCGCCCCCCTCTGACTCGGCTCTGACAGTATTTAGGGAGACCGCGCCAGAGAGAGGGTGCTTGGTGATTGTGCGAGCTACTTCCGTGATACAGCGGGCTCCACAGGTTTGGAAATGCTGGGAGCTACTTCGGCCAGACTTACCTCTGCACAGTCTCAGGCGATGTGGTTCCAACTTTGGAGAATACACGCCGGCTTCTGGGACACGCCGGCTCTTCAAGCTCTGACGGCATACTAGCCGTCCGGCTAGGGAAGTATAGCATGTCATGTAGGATTACAGGAGAACGTAAACTTATGTCTAATTCAAGTGGATATCTCTATATTATTGGAGGACTACTAACCTTAAGTATATCTTTCATGTACTAATCTACAATCTCATTTAATAATGAACTTATTCTTGCTTACTCAAATCTTCACTGCTTCAAGCTACTAATTATCTGGAGGACAACTCCCATCATGCTTATTAACTATGAACTGTTCTTGCTTTGCAACTATTCTCAGCTACTTGCTTAACATTACTATTGAAGATTATTCTCATTAACCAAAGAATGTTACTTAATGCTTCTCTGAAGAAATACTTATTAATGAACTTTGTGTTGTTGATTACATGCACTTCTTCTTATTGGATTATTGCCTAAATGCAATTCATTTAAATTTAACACTTATTAAAACTTCGTTTGAATCAAGTTACCAGCGATTCCCTCTTTTCTTAAAGCTACAGTATTGGTACTTTAAAGTTTCTCCGTATCTTCACTAATGTAATCAGGGAGGTTTACAAGCTGCAGTTGAGTTCCAATCTAGTTTACCTAAGTAGCGTAACAGACACCCACTAATGATCAGGATGCTGATAAAGCTAACTTGTTTGCTGAATACCTGCGTACCCATGTAAAGTCCTCACTCACTCCAGAGGCTGCAAAGTTGCTGAACTCACTAATCAGGGAAGAGGAGATACTGGCAGCTATCAAGGAGTCCAAGTTGGGTAAAGCACCAGGCCCTGATGGGTTCTCGGCTGGCTACTATAAATTCTCCACTGCACTGGTAAACCGCTAAACAAATATTTATTGGCCTTACATAAGTTTAGTAGAGACTTGTCAAGAAATAACTTGGTCAATAAAAAAAAAATTTGATTCTGCTGTCATGGTAACATAATATGCCATACCGTAAAATATCTTAAAGAGTCACAAAGCAGAAACATCACAGTAAATAAATGTAAAGTAAATTGCTTAGAGTAATATTTTAGATTTCAGTAAACCATTTAAATCCTCAGATACTGAAAGCCATGAAATATTTTTTTCTCATTTTGAATACACCTAAGAAAATTCAACGCATGTCAGTCATTCAATCCATTTAATATAAAAACATTCATGTGTTAGCGAGTGAGTCCAAAGTCTGGCTTCGGTTCAGTAACTTAGTTTAAGATTCCTAATTCAACATCAATCTGAACTGAATTCAACCATACGATTATTGGTATTTCTAGAATATGTCAAGAGTGAAGGCAATCATGTAGGAGTCAGAGCAATTTCATAAAAAATTTTTTGGTTAAAAAAAAATAAAAAATCAGTACACGTTTCTCGATGCTGCAAGAAAAAAAATTAATAATGAAATTATACAAGATGTGCTTAATGTAGACTTCGGCTTTTTGAAGTTCAAACTACCAAAGACTTCACTGTTACCTTGTAGTCTAATATATAACCTTTTTCATGATATCATAACAAGCATGAAATAACAGTCTGGCTGTGGACAAAATAAAGCTGTTATGAAGCAGACAGTCTAAAATTTCCATTATGTTATTGCCATATGGCCTCTTTCAAGGTGCTGTAATACATTTAGATTAGATGTACCCATACGGATCAATGTTAAGTAAGTTGTATATATCCTTTCAATTTTTTCAGAATAGTTAAAAAATGAAAACTTGGACAGGCAACAAGGAACAAACTAATTAGCAAGAAAATCGTAACAGACAAAAGTTGTAGAACATCTCAAATTAGCAGTGAATATATTGTACATCACGTGCTACAAAATAAATTACATTCCAACATTTCCTAAAACAATATGGTTACTTCCATAAATATAGACAAATATAAATATTGCTGAGGGGGTGCTTTGGGGACTGAAGCTCAGGATGTGGTCATTTTCAGCGGGTGATCTCCACATTTCGTGGAGGGGAATGGAGGACTGGGGTATTTTAGGCAGCTGCTTGTCAGAAAGCAATAGATCAGTGCTTCCCCGGGCTACTTAGGGGGAGGGAAAGGTGCCCATAGGTGACTTTCATGGGGGGATGCTGGAGAATACAATGCTGCTGCACAACTATTTGGTAGTACATAAGTCAATGTGTTTTCCTTTATCTCAAGCCCCAGGCATTTATGGGACCCTGCAACACCCCTGTAGACAAATACAGCTAGGGTTAGACACTCAAGTGAGAATTCAAAGTGAATTCAAATTGAATTTCAGATTTTAGACCAAAATAGTCGAAGAGGAAGCATAACTGATTTAGAATTTGTTTCAAATTCAGCGATTTGAAACTTAAATTTTACATTCACTTTGAATTTTCACTTTAGCAAATAAACCCGAAAGACATCTTTGTAAAATATATGAATACGTATACTTACTGTTTTGTGTGTATATCTCTTATATTTTCATTTTTAATCCAGACCACTCACTTTACTCATTACTTGTTCTGGTTCATTGTTATTTTACTGTTTCTATTATATAACTATTGACATCTACTCTGAATCTCTGGAACTCTCTAGATGACTTTTAAAAAGATAATTTTTATGAAGGTCATAATTATTCGCACCTATGCAGCCAATTAAATTATTAGCAAGAAACATACTATTTTTTACCTTATTCAACATTCGATCTTTGATGTCTCATATAGTTTTTAAAGTTTTTCTTACCACATTGACCACGTCAATCTTGTTTTTTTTCTCACTTGATCTAAAGATGCATAATTCAACAAGATAATATTTCAGTATTTTTCTATTTTATCTTATATTTATGTGCTAGTTATGAATTCACAAAATATGCTATACATTGTTAATACTTTATAAAGCAAAAGGCCCAGATATTGGAGAGGTAAACACAAGGAGAAAACATACAATTTGATAATCTTTTTAACAATGTTTTTAGCAATATTTTTTTTCTTTTTTCTGGTGGGCTCTGCACCAACTTAACATCGAATGGAGAGTGGGTCTTCCACTCTAGGGTGAGGGAGCCCATTAGGTCTTTGGGAAAAGGTCAAAAGGCACAGGGAATGGGTTTTTCTCCTTTTGAAGGTGGCTCACAGGAGCCAATAGAGCAAACCTCACTCCTCTGCTCACACTCAGACTCAGAGAACCAGGATGATTAGAGACATATTCCTGGTTCAAATCTGCTGCAGTTTAACCCAATCTGCTCTACTCCTTAGCACAACCAAGAGTTTAGATAGATAGACAGACAGACAAACAGACGGATAGGCAGGCAGACAGAGAGACAGGTAGACAGGTATAACCATGTTTATTTATTTGTAAAAAGAAACAAATGCAATATCCCCCCACCAAAAAAAAATATATATATATATTTATTGCCGTGAATTAGAAAAAAAAATAATCGAAAAAATAGAATTTTTCTTAAATGCCTCTGAATGGGAGCTACATGGGGACTGAATATATCCTATTGGAAGCCAAATGGGAAAGACATTTCAAAACTAATCTATCACTAATTTAGAAAACCAGTCTTTAACATTTGTACAAATGGCACTGCTGTGGGCATCATCCATCAATTTATCCAAAAACTTAATGGTCTAGAAATTAGAACTTTATATGAAAAATATATTTTGTGCTATAATGAAGATCTATTTAGAATAACATCTACAAAATCCCATTTTCATTTGGTGACCTTAAAAAATATCACTCTAAAAGATGGCTGTGGCATTACAAAGTAAATCTGAAAATGGCAATTGTCACAGTTGAACATAAATTGTATAATATAATATTACCAAAGTAAACATGAGAAGAGATTTTGACAAGAGGGGTGATTTACAGATATTTTAAAGTTGTCTTAGCTGTCAGGTATATTAACTTTAATTCACACTTAAATTGACTTTGTCATTTATTTTAGTACAAAAATATGGCAAAGTCAGTCTGTATTTTGTTTAATTGGATTTTCAAAATAAACTCTTTTATAAAGTTATTGTATTAAAAATTCTGTTTTACCGTAACCACGTGTGGCTCATCTCAATAGTGAGATATAATGTTTATTAGCTTCACCTGCTTTGTAATTTAATAATTTAAATAATGATGAGATAAACCAACAAGCATGTTGTATACAGCAAATTGTGAAAAAAAAGGTCTTGAGAACTAGATACTAAATACAATTCTGACTCAGTGACAATGAGTCTTCAGGATGGGGATGGTGAATTCCTCCAAATAAATGTAAAAAAATGCATACTTAAAACTAAAAATAAAAACATAGCTGCCTTAAGATGTACATGACATTCGTTAATGTTCTATAGTATAAATGACTCTGTGATCACACTTTAACATTCAATAATCTACAGATTATGGCCTACAAGAAGTCATGGAAAGACACATGGGTGGATGTTGGGACACAAAGTATATAAAGGAGGTTGAGAGACACCTATGTAGGGTACACTTGGAAAAATAAAAGAGGTAGACGGGCATGATGCCAGATCATGTTAAGGGGTTCATTGAGAGAAACCTAGGTATGGGGTGCATAGGAATAGACAAAATCTGGGGCGATTATGACAAAGGCACAAGACAATAGATCCATAAGGTAGGCCTTCTAACTGAGTTCACCAGTGTTTTTGTTATTATTATTATTATTATTATTTATAAAGCACCAACAAATTATGCAGCGCTGTACAATGGGTGGACTAACAGACACATAATTGTAACCAAATGAGTGGGACACAGGGGAACAGAGGGATTGAGGGCCCTGCTCAATGAGTTTAGATGCTAGAGGGAGTGGAGTATAGTGACACAAAAGGTAAGGGTAGGGTGGAAGGGTAGGTTGCTAGGATAGTATTCACAGAGGGCTTAGTGTTCTGTTTTGATTAGAGCTGCAGGAGAGGAATCAGGGTGCAGAGAGAGAAAGCTGTTGACAATTTAATTGAAATGCTATCCTGAAAAAGTGGAGACTGAGTAAAAGTCTAGCAGAGAGGGAAGGGAGTTCCATAGGAATGGTGCAGCCTTAGGGAAGTCTTTAAGGCGAATATCAGAGGTAGGAGTACGAACATAGGTTAGTCGTAGGTCTTCGGCAGAGTGTAGGGGCCTAGACAGGACTTTAACTGTGTACAGCATACACACTGCCTAAACACAGCTGTAGATTTAATCTGCAACTATACATTCTATTTTATGTTATGCACAGACACTTGAACATACTGCATTAGTATTCTAGAATTGAAATGCTAGATTCCGCCTGGTGCATAGAAATCACACTATGCTAAACAGCTCTAATAATATACAGTTGAAAAGCCTCAATCAAGCTAGATACACAGACACTTGACTGTATTATATTCAATGGGATTCGTGGCACTAAAATTGTTGAGTTGTATTGATCTTTTTTAGTGTATGGTAATTATATCATTTAGCCTTAACGTGCTGCTGC